ATACGCTTTAACTTTCTTCCATCTCGAAGAGATGTCCCATCAAAAAACTAGCTGACACTCATACATCACTCCTCTTCATTCTTCTCTTCACTGCCCAATTAAATTCTTTATCCATTTAAAAATTTTAATAAAAACATATAAAGCTCGATGGTCAGGCTCCTGCATATATAGCAGAGACCTTATTCCAGCAGTTAGCCTCTATTAACTCTTAACTGTTTCCCTCTTTAGTATTAAATCCAGAGGCAATCAAGCTTTTGAGGATGAAGTGCCTAAACGTTGTAACAACTTGTCTCTGCCTATCAAGCCATCTAAATCTGTGGTGTTTTTCAAAGACTACTAAAAACTCGTTTTTATAGGTCCATTTTTCTCAGTCTTTCACCCATTTGACATTGTCTCTATGCTGGAACATGTTTACTTATCTTTAATGTGTGGTTTTATTCAAACTGTATAGCACTGTGTAACTGTGCACTGAAATCAGGCCCCTACCTTCATCACGCTTCCATTTACCACTGTGCTTTTAAAAGAAGTAGTGGCAGAACCAATTCCCGAGATAGCATCCAAAACAACTTGACATTGAGGGAAAAGAAGGTGGAGGGTAATAATACATTTAGTTACAGTTTGAGTACAGAATAAGCTGCAGTCAGTCAGCTCTTGTGAATGCTCTGTCAGTGGGTCCTAATGGTGAAGGATCATGATGTCATCACTGAAAGTAAGCCACCTACTCAGCCAAATGACTTTGTTCTTAACACTGTACTTTCTTGACCTCCTACAGTAAAGTAGATTGGATGATGAGGCACTAAGAAAAGCAGAGGACAGTCATACAGACACACGTTTTACAGTTAGATTATTAAATTGTACCAAATACATCTTAATTACAAATTTTTCATGGCCTTGAATAACAACCACATGCGCCTCACGCAATGCTGATCTGAAAATATAATCACTTGCAAAACCCATGTTTCTAATGGGCTCATCCAATGTCATTATGTTGCCTCATCATAGCACCTCCTGCACACCCTCATCATGAAAATCAGTCAACAGCTAGTTCTGCATATATTTCTTCTTCCTCCAGAAGAGAAATTATGCAATAAGTTTAACAGCATTATAATGAAATTATCCAGATCCTAAAATGATTAAGCAAAACTGTGAACATTCAACATTCTTACACTGTTTAGACCAACCAGTGTGTTTATTTTTAAGATTTTTCAATATTACTAAACTAACAAAGTTTTACTTTGCAAAGAAAAACTGAGATTTTGGCAATGACAGGTTTTTGCACCGAAACATACATCATTACAACAAAAACAACCTGATGTTAATGTTAATGTCTGTCAACAACAGAGATGGGCAGTACAAGTATTGCGTTACTGTAATCCGATTACTTTTTTGAAGTAACAAGTAATGTAAGGGATTACTATTGCAAAAAAGGTAATTAGATTACTGTTACTTTCCCGTAAGCACGCCGCGTTACTGCATTACTAAAACTGTGTCTTAGTAATGTGACGTAAGCGAGTGCGACGTTTGTGACAACAGCTGTGTGCAGATCAACAATGGATAATCTATCGAGTGCAGGAGAGAGTATGAGCGTGCAGCGTTTAAAGCGTGGAAGTACTGACCTTACTTTGAGTTTGATTCTGTAAAAAGTGACAAAAACATTAGGGTCCGCTGTTCACTGCGTGGGAAGAAAACTTCTTTTTACAGCTAAAAAACCCTTAACTTCCGAGGAAGCACCCAGTGCGCTACCACGTAATGGGAAATTCACAGACAAACTCACGGATTCTTCCACTGACCGCTGCGGCACACCTGCACCAGGGCAAACATCTGCCTGCTGTGGATCAGGGAAATTATTTTACTGCTATTGTTAAATAATCATCATCATTACCATTGCATTAATAATATAATTTGTGTGTCTTTCAGAAAGACTAAGTTGCAGGCAGGAGTTGACAGGAAGTTGCAGAGAGTTTGCAGAAGTGAAAGCAGAGTCTAAGTTATTCTGAGGAGCAGGTTAGACGAGGCTCTTTGAATTACTAGGTTATTCAAATTGTCTGTTATACTTTTATATTCTTTTATTAAGCTTTTAGTAGAGGTTCTTGATTAAAACATTTATTCAACATAGTACATATAGTTTCAGTCAGGTTATTGTACCTAAGGATGAGCCTCGGATCTGGTAAAAGGTCAGAAGTGCAACGGGTGAGATGAGAGAGCATGTAAGGTCAACACATACACACACACACACACACATTAGTTAGACTCATTTATAGGTGAGAAGTTGGTCATGTTTGTCTCTGGAAAGAGGAACAGCGTTTGGCAGGATGTGGGGCTTGTGTTCCAGACGAGATAGAAGACAATGTTCTTTTAAACCGTGTTAAAAGTCATTGTGGTTTTGATTTGACGTATGTATATATTCTGTCTGTGACGTATGAAGGGCGTCATTAATTCAAACCCTGATGCTATAAAAATCTGTGTATGCTTTGATTAAGTCGAAGATCAATCCCTGTCTGCGTACAGAGTGGTCTTCCCACGCGTGTATTCATTAAAATCAATTGTTTGACCAAGATCTTCTGGACCAATGGTTGTTTGTACTCTCCTTCCTCAATATGTGAACCTTAACACTGCTATACAGGTGAAAATAGAGCAACAGGACCGCTGAGTCTTTGATTTTATTTATTTTCTGCTGTGTTTCACTTGCATTTATTTGAAAGACTGAGTGTAAACACAAAAAAATATTTTATTTTATGTGCTGGAATGTGCAGAAAATAGGTTTAAATGTTAAACAAATTTCTTCCAGTCAGAGAATGTTGCATATAATTAAATTTTTGCTTGATGCATAAAGTTAAAAGATTAAAACTAATAAAACTTTGTCATTTTTTGATCTTTTTGAGGGTTGAAATAAAGAAAACCCTTTTTGAAGATATCTTTTTTTTGCCTGTGTCCTCTATGCCTTGGCTGCTTGGTCCCTCACAGTTTTGTTATTACTATTATTCCTGTTTTGATTTCTTTCCCAAGTTGTTGTGAGCCCCTTATTTCTTATAGTAATTTCGTTCCATTATTGTTTCTATTTGTTCTATTTACTTAGTTCCCTCTGTGTTCCCTTTCGGTTCCTTCTGTTTTCTCTCTGTACTTGTCTATCGATCTTCTGTCCAATACCTGTCTTCCTTTGTGTCAAGCTCTTTCTTGCTCTCCTGATTAGCTGTGGCTAACTTCCTGTTTTGTTTTGGTAGCTGTTTATCGTGATTGTTTTCAGCTGTGTTTAGTTCCCATACTGTCTCTGCTTTCCTTGTTACCTCTTGTTAATATATTGCCTCAGTCTTCCTTTGTCCATCTACATGTCATGCCATCCTCTCTACCGCCACTAAAATAACCAGTAACTGCCCGGTTACTGTGGATCAGGAAGTAGAAGAGGTCATCCACCATTTGGAAGATTGCTGGTTTGACCCCTTGGGTCCTGTACTCAAAGTATCCTTGGGCATGTTACTACATACAGAGTTGGCCCTTTTAGTGTGAATGTAGTAAAAAAAAAAAAAAAAAAGGGCTTTGGGTGCTCAAATAGAGTAGTAAAGTGCTGCATAAGTACCAGTCCGTTTACCTTTTGCTCCCAAGATTTTCATAGTATCTCGTCATTAGGGATGGGTATCGTTTAGGTTTTATCCGATACCGGTGCCAAATCGGTACTTTTGAAACGGTGCCGGTGCTCAAACCGGTGCTTAAAGAATGGAGAACACAAAATTGGTCCAAAAACCTCTCATGTTCAGCTGGTTTTTTGTAAAAAGATAACAATGTTAGCCTTTTCTGCAGCTGTGGGGCATATATGGTATCACTCTTGGAAGCAGTGCTTAATCAATGGAAAAAACACAAACTTTGTCCAAAACCTCTCATGTTTAACTGTTTTCCACTTTTTCTTTGGTCATTTTAGCCTTTTTGGCCAGGGTGAGGGGAGCATCTGCCATCAAACAAGAAGACAGCCGCATGTAGCTATGATGGTGTTTGCTAGTTCACCTTACATGCATTAATGTAATAACGTGGTTAGCCTACTCAACGTAAATTACACATGAACAACATTAAGCTACTCACGCCCATAAGCATCCGTCATCATTTCTGCTACACTGGCAGGGCTAGGGGCCAGGACTCTCCTCTTCGGGTTTTTTGGGGGATATTGCTAACTCCGGGTCAGATAACAGGCAACCCACGCACAGTAGATGCGCTCGGTGTGAGGTCTCGCAGCAAGCTATCATACGGCGCATTTCTCGGCTTTTTAAAAAAACCCTATGCGTCGCCAGGTGTTTCATCGGATTTGAGGTGTTACCTCCTTTGACAGTATCACAGTATCAGCTTAAAGCACTTGTTGCAGGCTGCTGAGTTTGCATATTTTGCTGTGAAGTACAGCCAGACTTTTTACCGCTTCGCCTTGGGCATTTTTAATCTGTAGCTCTGCATAAAAGAACGCACGTACCTGGGCCCGCCTACTATCCTCGGAAACGTAAAATTATTGGCTAGAAGCGTATCACAGCTCAGGAAAAAAAGCACCGAAATAAAGCACCGAAATGTGCGCTGCTTTTCGGTCTGGTTACTACCGTTTATGTCAGAACCGGTGCCATCATGGCACCGGACACCGGTACCCATCCCTACTCGTCATGTTGCTGGTGTCCCTTGTACGTGTTAAACATTTAGTAGTCTGTGGACTCTGCATCACACTCTAACCTATCCTGTCAATGTCACATCTAAAAAAATATCAGCATCTGGATTACAGTAAATGTTGTGGTTGAGGACTGATGTTTTAGCACTATTTTTCAGCATCTTGTTACACTTTTAAAGTTTATGTGTTAAGTTGTTTTGGTAGGATGGCACATTGATTGTGTTTAAATATCAGAATCAGAATACTGCCATACCTTGGTACGTCTATTCTGCAAGAGTAATTTGGTTTTACAAAGCAGTTTTATATCTTTTTAAAAACAAGTGTGTTGCAGTGCTCATATTTAATCAAAGGACAACTGAGTAGAAGATGCATTTTTATTAAAGAGGTTCCATTCAGTCACTCTAAGTGACGGTTGGCATGTCACTTTTGGATTCACCTCTCGTCTTCATCACCCTCATTGCTTTCTTTATTGCCTTCAAGTAGGGAGTCTTGTTCTTCAGAGGCGCTGTCAGCAAATTCATCCCACCAGTGGAACTGTTCGCTGGCATGACTTTTCTCATCATCACTGTCTTCCTCTCTAAACTGTCTCCCAAATCCTCCAGGAAGCAGATCCTCCGCTGCTTCTCCTTCATCCGGGTTGACTTCATAGTCAACCTCAGCAGCAGCAAGGTCATTTTCATCTTGATGAGCTACATTGCGTTCTTCTTCATCGTTGCTGCTGTCAGCATTTTGATCATCATCGGCAAAATTATAATTGCAATAATTGTGGTCATTTTCAGTATCTCTGTTATTGTGGTCATTTTCATCATCAGCATTATTGCCATCATTTCCATCATCAGAGTTGTTGTAATCAATTTCAAAATGAATGTTGAAGAAATTATTCTGATTGATGTGATCACCATTGTTGTTGTTAAGCTGCTCTGGCTCCCAAAGTCTCGCAACTTCAAAGATACGTGGTGCAAACATTATAACATATTCCACACCATTTTCAAAGAAGTTGTCCATATCTCCCCAGTTACCATCTTCAGCCAAGAGTGGTTGCTCTACATGAAAGTTCAGTTAGCAAAGTCATAGCTAATCAAAAGAAACTTCAACACTGCATTATGTTTCTTTTGTACAATAACAGATCAAGTTCTTACCCTCATTAGGCTGAGCATGGGCCCCATCTCCTTGTTCCGTCATCTGAGCTTTAAAGATCCCACAAAGACATAAGTTATTCAAGTTAAGCAGTACATTTCCCATCTGTACTGTTGGGCATGCTCAAAAATCTCACTGTAAATATCTACCATCAGCTATCAAAGTTACAGCGTCAAAAGTAAGTTTCACTTATAAAGCAGTTCCCCCAAAACTCACCTTTTTTTCAAAGAAACTGCTCTATGAAAATGTCCTAGTTCAGCTGTGTGTGTATCTGCTTGTTGCTGGAGTCAAAAATATGTTTCAGTTGTAACATTTAAACCCGCACTGTAACTGTGCAATAGCAGTGATGTCATAAGAACTACCAGAATTCCACCCCATGAGTGTTCCATGAAATTCCACCTCAGGAAGGCCAACTGTGATGGCCTTCATCAGGGCTTATGTAAGTTTACTTCAGGACTACCAATGTAGCCACTGTACTCCTGGTACCCTATGACCCATCAGGGTCATATATCATACTGATATATAAAAAACATAACCATGCTAACAGACAGCCATTTCTAAGTAGTGATGGCAGTAAAAAATAAAAAGCTGAGCTTGGTTCTTTCATTGTGACAAAAAAGTCGGCAATGGCTGGGATGTGAGTCATTTAATTAATATTGCATGTACTTATGTGCTTAAAGTAAACAAACAAAAATAATACTATTAATGTTTTAGCAGTAGTAACAGTTTTATATATTTAGTCTTCTCATATAAAACTGACAACACAAACATCATAAATAAGAGGAAAAAACTGACCTCCTATTTTACACCTGCTCATGAGTGTTTTCATGATGGCGGCAGCCTTGTTTTCTTTCAACAATCAGGAGAAGCAGGAGACCAGAGCTGAAGACTCTGTATAGATAATGTATGGGAAGCTGCATCCCCTTTTACATTACAGGCAGGGGGAGAGGAGGGTCACGAAGACACGCTCATAAAACATTAATTCAGCACTTCATTCTGCTCAAAAGCAGCCACACACGGTGAAATAGGCTGTCAAATACAGTGTGCTTCTGCAGGGAGTTTGGTTCACTTTAGTGTTAGCAGCAGTGGCCTCAGAAATGTTCATGCAGCTCATTTTAGTTCAGCATTTTAGAAAAAACACAAAGTCACTAAATAATTGTGACTCATCGGCTCAGCCATTTCTGTCAAAATTGTTAGGAGTGTGAGTACTTAGGTAATTTTTACATTTGTTAAAATCAATATGTTTCCCTGTGATCCAGGTTGTGTAAACGCTGTTGTGTAAAAGCTGTGTAAGCAGCAGGTTGTCACTTACCTGCAGAAGAAACAGCGTGGGCTTTTTTTTTCTTTTCGTAAGTGTATTGGTGCCTATGTCTTGTTCAGTCTCTGAGTGTTCCCATGCTGCAGGTAGCCAGAGGGTATGTGGACACGGGAACATTAAGTGTTGAGAAAACAAGTATTTATTCAATCAGCAGGTGCCATCAAATCTGAGAAAGAAATGCTAAAAACAGAACATCTGAGATAAAAAAAAAATAAACAACAACAAAAAAGAGCCAATTTCTAGGAATTAAGGAACACAACATGGCTATGGGGATTACTATATGTTTGTTGTTTTGCTTCATTATTAAACCAGACTGAAACACTGAACAGAGTGCATGCTTTGTGCTAGCACATCTCACCGAAAGTAAAACCTCCTGAGTCACCTGAAAATCCTGCATTAAAAATAATTCTAAATTCTGCTGCTTCCTTAATGAAACCTTCTAGTAATTTCAAACTGTTTAAACTGTTTCTGAAAGTCACACCACTTACTGGCCTTAGCTCGTTTCTGCTTTAATCCCAACACTTTAATTTCAAATCAGCTGTAAAAGAAACGTTTAACTTTCAAATGCCATGAGAGCGAGACCCGTCTCAGACGTCTGATATTAAATGTGACAGCAGTTACCAGGAATCAAATTCGACTGTGGTAGACGGCACTTTTGAATAGTCAAGAATGGTATTTTTATCAGTATGGAAAGTGTCTCTTTTCATCGAATTTTTACTTTGTGCTGTTTGTTTAACCTTTTTGAGATTTCAGCAGGTAACCTTTAGAAACTGTGTCTAATTTCAGGGTTGTATATACCACTTGTGATGCTCTGTAATGTATGGTTGGCTATGATGGTTTTGATGCCTCGCTCTCTTATAAGGAGATTCGGGCCATTCGTTGTTTATTCTTTGTCGGTTTACATCAAAGAAAATGTCAGCCATGTGTTTCTGCGCTCGGTGCTCTGAGCAGGTTTTCTGTAATAAGGCATGAAAATGTTGAGGTGACTGTACCAGCACTTGCAAAGTACAAGGGACTCAATTTTCCAGCTAATGCACATTTTGTCAGCCATGTCTTTTCTCACTGTGCAAGACACACACTCACACAGATGTGCACATCAAGACACATATAACCCCACTTTGCGCTGGTGCACCAATGCATGAAATGCACACTATGTCTGAAATGCTTTTTCTGTGATGTGAAGTGAAGGTCAAGAGGACGGGGCATGAATGACTGGCTTTTATTTTAGCTTGACATCATATGCAAGATACCATCTACGTCTTTGTATTTAGCAACAAAAGAAGCTCTTTATTTACTTTTTTTAAATATTGAAATTCAAAGTTGTTTTTTGATTGGATCTAGCTCAGCAATATTTAGTGCGTTATGTGTCATTTGTCTGTGCTATATCAAATTAAGAGACCTAGGTTAACAGAGAGTGAGGCGTTTGGGGTCGAGTAAGTCTTTCCTCAGGCTAAACAATGAGACACAGCCAATGCTGCGCTTGATGAATCTGCTGACGCGTCAGTGTCGTCGTATAAATAATTCAGAAAGACAATAGAGAAGAACAGAAGAACTCACTGCCGATGGCTGGAGGTCAAAGGTCCTCCCAGCTCCTAGACATGTTGGAAAAACAAACTGCATCACCGCACAGTGACTTATCCAGTTGCTCTGCGCGACCCCCTTGAAAAGCTGAAACCTGATGCTGTTATGATCAAAGAGGGCAACTGTCTGTTAGACTGACCCACCTCTTCTATGGAGCTTTTTGGTAATATTTTTTACATGAGACATGATGAATGGAACAAATTAAATCCCTTATTATTAAGCTGCCCGAGATCACGAAATACATAAGCCTGTAGCGAGTGATGCAAAATGATTGATACTGATGGACTGATGTGGGCACTCAAAGCCTCTCATGAGATTTTCATGACAGTCACATTAGAAAGAAATCAAAGGAAATGGACACTACTGGCAGCACTTAATAACAATCCATCTATCCACTGTTCTGTGATTTTTATGCGGTTAGATATAAAGCTTTTTAAATGGAAGGCAAGTCCAACATTGATCTGATACTAAAAGCCTTCCCGTTGCTAATGAAGATCATGTCATGCTGTATTTTTCTGAAGAAAATGTCAGCCCATTCAACCGCAGCATTTTATTCACTTACATCAGTGTAGCATGAACCAGCAATTTATTTCTGGAATGAACTCCACAAAGAACGATGATTTATTTTTCATGTTATAAAAACTTCACAGTCTTCATTCTTCAGGTGTGATTGCCCACTTATGACGTTATAAAGTCAGATTTCATTGGTCACTCAAAAATCAAAAATACAAGCTGCACATTAACGTTTCATAGCCAAAACCAAGCTTTTGTTTGGAAACTTAGGCCTATAATTTTTCACATTACCTTACACTTTCCTGTTAAAAGAGAGATTTTCTTTCCCATTGCTGCCAATCATTGTATTGTATTATTGTAGGACTGTCATGACACAGTTGTAACTGTAATGTAATAAATTTATTTAGTACAATAATGCATTGCAGTATGTTACTTTGGAGGGTGTTACACCTGTTACAGAAGGTGAGTATGATGGCAACTACACTTTACTGTCAAAATTATTCACTCACCCATGCAAGTTGTTTGTATCTATCTATCTATCTATCTATCTATCTATCTATCTATCTATCTATCTATCTATCTATCTATCTATCTATCTATCTATCTATCTATCTATCTATCTA